CTGCCCCTGCATCCCGTGCTGCCGCCCGCCTGTCCAGCACTGCTGCCCGGCCACCATGCCCCTGCCGCTACCCCCCTGCCACCAGCAGCAAAAGCAGGTCCCTCTCTTGCCACCCTGTCTGCAGAAGAAATGAGCACGGGGCCAGCGTGGTGCCGGGACCCCTTCCCGGCACGTTCCTGCACGCCGCCCAGCGTGGGAGATGCTTCGCTCCTCGCTCAAACTGCCCGTGCTCCCACCTCCGCTTCTGGCTTGATGCAACGCCGCCGTGGCTGGTGCTTCGTTGCTGCTCTTTGCACACTGGAGTCAGGGTCCGCAGTCCCCTGCTTGACCCCAGCACCGACACTTTAAATTCCCAGGGTCCTCCCCTGCCAGGGAATAGGCTTTCATCATCCAAACCACATTTTGCTCTTCCTCAGGGCTGAGCAGCCGTTTCTCCCCCTTTCTGAGATGGTGAGCAGCCTGGGGATGAAGAAACCAAACGGAAAGAGCCTGAGCAAGCACGGGGAAATGGCCTGCCATGGATTCGCCTTCTCCCGTGGGTCCAGCGGACTGTGATTTCGAGGCTGTTTGAAAACAGAGACAGGACTGTACTGGGGAAAAAGTACACACTGTGACTGCGGGAACATCAAGGATTCCTGCAAATTTATTTTCTCCCAGTGTATTTAAGAATAAAAGTTGACAAAATTTAGTTCACACACTTGGTTCTTTTTTTTTTTACTCCCCAAAATACCACCAACGCTACGATGAGAAGAGGTTAAAAGTCATCAAAATTCTCACAAGGAAACGTGTAAATTTAAAATCAAAATTAGAGTTCACAGGTGAGGATTTCAGCTCTGGCCGTAGCAGTTTCACCGGGCTGAGCTCCGTCTGTGTGCTGTAAAACCCTCTCCACTGTGGTTACCCACCGCAGGGCCAATGGATGGACTTCAGTGGTCCATCAGTGAGAGATCTAGGTACAAAGAGTTTGCTCTGATGTATGCCATCACCTTCATTAGCTAGAGAGTACAACCATGCCAGGAGGCCATCCATCATGTAAATGTTAATCAAGATAATAAGCACATGCCCAGCACATTAGACGTGTCCGTACATGCCAGGAAGATGCAGGCCGGGCTCTTCCCCCACAGCTCCCCACTGCCCAGCTCTTGCAGGCACACTGGTAACATGCTGTTTCTCTCTCATTTTGCCAGAAAAGCCTTCCACGCGGTGCATTAAAATACATATCGTTGTTTCTTTGTGTTGCCTAAGCATAGCCCCAGGGTGTCCTCACAGCAACCACCAAGGAAAAACAGAAAGAAAAAAAGAAATTCATTCTTGTTGTCTCAACTCGGAAAACCACCATTTATTTTTCTCATGTCTAATTTTAACCAAGTGTCCTGGTTTCGGCTGGGATAGAGTTAATTTTCTTCATAGTAGCTAGCATCGTGCTGTGTTTTGGATTTAGTACCAGAAGAATGTTGATAACACCCTGATGTTTTCAGGGGTTGCCAAGTAGTGCTCAGACTACTCAAGGACTTTTTGAGCTTCTCCTGCTCGGCCAGGGGCAGAACAAGCTGGGAGTACAGCACAGCTAGGACAGCTGACCCCAACTGACCAAAGAGCTATTCCAGACCACGGAACGTCA